TGAAGTGCATCCATTATATAGCAAAACCACATTGCCTTTGCCACCCCGCAACCATGGCGCGATACTTAACCTTAGTAGAAGATCACGAGACACGAGTCTGTTTCTTTGTATACCAGGGTTATGATCGTCCTTGTCATTTGCCCATTCAGAATCGGAATAGATAGCAATATCAAGAGTACCTGTTTGAAAGAGAATACCTTGAGATAGAGTACCCTTTAAATAATGAAGGATACATTTTAATGCCAAGCAATCCTTCTTAGAGGGATTATGCATGGTTTGAGAGACACAACTAACAACCTACTGGATATTAAGATGAGTTACTGGCAGATAGTGCATGCCACTGCACCCACAATGTTACGGAAGAGTTTGGGATCTGAAAAGGGAGGAGATGATTCTTGAGCCATCCGTGCAAACATAGGAGTGACAACTGGTTTGCAATCAGTCTTACTAGCCCATTGAAGAAGATAAAAAGTGTACTTCGTCTGATGAAGCAAAATAGTATCCTTGCTCTATGACTCTCATCTGCCCGCATTGTCTTGAGTTGATGCTTTCGCTACTGCTAACTACATCATCAACTGTTTACAAAAAAACATGGCCAACACATCCCTTTTTGCTGCACTTTATGGTCGGCGTGTAGACTACGTAGTTCACCTACGCCCCTTTGGTCGGCGTGTATGCATGGCTTCGACCTCACACCAACCACAAACTTCAACCTCGATCTACCTCGTCCATTTTTCCCTCCAGACAGTTGTCCCCTATTCGGGGTGGCAGAGTTATTCATAGTATAAGGGTCATCAAAGCGGTACCAACATGTAGTAGCAAAGTGGCCACACTTTGGACAAATTTGGAAAACTCGAAGATCCTACGGAGGACCGTGGTGTCCCCCTCTTCCGTTACTTTGACTATCGTAGGAGGAGGTATTGTCGTGTCCAGAATACGGTGGACCGTTAGGTCCACCTCGATCATGACCCCCGAATGCTTGAAGTGAATAGGGTCGTGTGTATATTCACAGAAGTAGAGTCAGCAAGAAAGCTGATTTAGACTAATATTTTCACTGTTTCAAGAGGATGTTTTGCTTAAAGAAAGTGTATTTGGCAAGGAGATAGTCGATAACAATATTTACTATATCTCTTCCAGGGATCTCTTCATTCAAGGCACCTAGAAAGGTGGTAACTTCATCGAGATATTGAGTCATAATTTTTGTACCTTTGCAAAGTGTGTGAAGTTTGTCTCAAAGTTGAAAGATATGGGAAGTTGACACCGAGTTATACCAGACAACAACAACATCCCGAGATCAGCAGAAGTAGTAAACCCCCAAGCATATTTGTGAACAGTAGGGCAACAAGGATGCATGCACATGTTTGGGTGTCGATCTCTGACTATGTACTGGTCTCGAAAATTCTATGGCCTGACCCGAAACTGGAAAAAGGGTTCTTAACCCCGACTAATTAAAATATAATTAAAAATATATATTTATTTTTAAAAAATATTTCTTTATTTTTATTGATGACATTAGGTTCTTTGGTGTAAGTATTCATATTTATTTTAGATAAAAAATAAATAGTTTTTACTTATTTATTTTTTGAACTATTTTTCAAAGTTTTATGATAAGGTTGTTCACAGAGGGAAACTTGGAGTGTTCCCAGTGAGGAACACCAAGCGGCCTTCTTGTGGTGTTCGTCTTTGCGATGTGGAGGCTTCCTCTGCGCGCCGATCCCCTTCCTTTCTTGCTCTGTTCCCAAATCCCAAAAAATCCCAAAACAAATAACTACGAGAGAGTACCCTACATATGTAGAGAAATATATTCCTTTGGGATTAGGATTAATAGATACTTTTCTACCCTGACGGTTCAAAAAAAGCGACGAGGTAAAGAACCGTAAAGAAACCCTCGAAGGAGCTTATAATTCGCTCACCTAGAAAAATCTACGTACAAGTAAATAAATAAATAATAATAAAGAGGATAATTTAAATGGAGCCCATATCATACTCCAGTTGCCAACTCGGCGGACGTCGAACCCGATTACTTCGACGGGTCCCCGAGTCTTGCACGTGGCAAACCTCCCTTCTTCGACAAGCACCTTGTCCTCAAGGTGGAGATGTGGAAAACGTTCCCGAATCATCCCTAGCGGCTCCCAAGTAGCATCATCCAGCGTACCATCACTCCAGGATACCAAACCTTGTTCAATGGGCACACCATGCTGTAAAACTCGGCGTACTGCATGCAATCTGACCGGCTGGGAAGGCGTCCTCCCGTCAACCAAATCCTCCGGCAAGGGTAAGGGCTGCACCGGCGGGTTGGTTCCTCGAAAGGGGCGAAGGACAGAGACATGAAACACCGGGTGGATTTTTGAGTTGTCCGGCAGTCGTAGTCGGTATGCTACAGGACCAATACGTTCTATCACCTCATATGGTCCATAGAATTTCAAAGCGAGCTTCTGCGAAGATCGCCGTACCACGGAGTGTTGGCGATATGGTTGCAAACGTAAAAGGACCCAGTCCCCCACATTGTACTCAACGTCCCGCCGGTGTGCGTCCACTCGCTGTTTCATACGGTGCTGGGCTGCCACCAAATCTGACCGAAGCCGTCGAAGAAGAGAATCCCGCTCAGTCAAGAGGTCATCCACCGTGGGTACCTTGCTGGAGCCGGACTGGTAGGCCACCAATGCCGGAGGTGGGCGCCCGTATAAAGCTTGAAACGGGGTCATTCAGAGTCCGGCATGGTAGCTTGTGTTCAAAGAATACTCGGCCCAGGGCAAGAGGACAGACTAGCGTTTAGGGGTGGCGTGCGTGAACATGCGCAAGTATTGCTCCAAGGTACGATTCATCACCTCCGTTTGGCCGTCCGTTTGGGGATGATAGGAGGTACTGTGCTTGAGGGTGGTGCCGCTGAGGTTGTGCAGTTCCTTCCAAAAAGTGCTAATGAAGATTTTGTCTCGATCGGACACAATGGAACGGGGAAAACCATGGAGTTTAATGACCATATCAGTGAACAAGAAGGCTGTCCGGTGAGCGTCGTAATCTGCGGGAAGCGCTCCAAAATGGGCATACTTAGTGAGGCGATCCACCACTACCAAGATAACAGTATACCCTCGGGATGGCGGCAAACCCGTAATAAAATCCATACTCAAGTCTTCCGAAACCTGCTGGGGAACCGGCAAGGGTTGGAGTAACCCGGCAGGGGCCTGCGTCGATGTTTTTGCTTTTTGACAGACCTCGCATTTGGCAATATAAGCTCGAACATCCGTCCGCATCCGAGGCCAATAAAAAGATGTCGCCAGTCGGTAGAAAGTGTGATGAACTCCTGCGTGGCCGGCAATCGGCGAGTCATGGTACTCGCGTAGCAATTCCTCACGAAGCCCGGAGTCTGCCCCAATACACAAACGGGTATTATAGAAGACGAGGCCGTCGGCCACGACGTAGGGAGCCGGCAGCACCCCACGGCGGTACTGATCGTGAAGCGCGCGTAGATCTGGTTGGCTTCCATTTTCGGCACGGATGCGCTCCATGATAGATGTTAACGACTGGGAAAGTGCCATGAACTCGGCCGTGGCAGTGGCAGGGGTGTCGTCCTGGTCCCGTCGGGATAAGGCATCAGCGACGCTATTTGAACTCCCTGGTTTGTAAACAATCCGGAATCGGTACCCCAAAAGTTTGCGGACATAGAATTGCTGATCCGGTGTCTGGATGACCTGCTGCAAGAGTTCCTTCAAGCTACGTTGATCCGTGCGAATAAGAAATTCCCGCCCAAGAAGATACTGGCGCCATTTCTGGACTGCTTCGACAATGGCGTAAAGCTCCTTATGGTAAGTGGATGCCGCCCGTCGGCGTGGGCCCAATTTTTTTGCTAAAATAAGCAATCGGCTGTTCTTCTTGGAGGAGGACCGCACCCACACCAACGTCAGATGCATCGGTATCAACCACAAACATAAGAGAAAAATTGGGCAGCCGTAAGAGTGGGGCAGTGGTGAGGGCCGATTTCAAGTTTTCAAAGGCCGTGGATGCCACATCGGACCAACAGAATGAATCTTCTTGAGGAGATCCGTCAATGGGGCTGCCAGTTGTGCATAGTGCCGGATAAATCGAAGATAATATCCTGTCAAGCCCAAAAATCCCCTTAACTGTTTGATAGTGGTGGGCCGAGGCCACGCTGCCATTGCCTCAATCTTTGCGCCGTCCGCCTGGAGATGCCCGTCACCAATAATATGTCCCAAATACTCGATGGAAGTGGCGCCGAAAGAACATTTGGACAGTTTGATGAAGAACCTGTGTGAGAATAATAGCTCAAGAACAGCTTCAAGATGACGGCTATGGATGTCCAGAGAGGGGCTGTAAACCAATATATCATCAAAAAAAACGATGACAAATTTCCGTAAATAGAGTGCAAATACCCGATTCATGCAAGCCTGAAACGTAGACGGAGCATTTGTCAACCCGAACGGCATTACCCGGAACTCATAGTGACCCTCGTGAGTGCGAAAAGCCGTTTTGTAAATATCCCGTTCATGCATACGAATCTGATGATATCCCGAACGAAGATCCAACTTTGTGAAATAGCGTGCAGAGCCAAGTTCATCAAACAATTCATCGGCCGTTGGGATCGGAAAGTGATCGGGTACGGTGACGGCATTAAGGGCGCGATAATCCACGCAGAAACGGTATGTGTCGTCCTTCTTTTTTACTAATAACACCGGCGAGGAGAACGGGCTCCAACTAGGCTGAATCAGCCCGACCTCAAGCATCTTTCTGACCATTCGTTCAATTTCATTTTTTTGAAATTGTGGGTATCTGTAGGGCCGGACATTAACTGGAGACGTTCCCGGTTGTAGAAAAATCTGATGGTCCTGGCCACGCCGGGGTGGCAGATCTGTGGGCATGCCAAAAACAGCCCTGTAACGCTGCAAGACGGTGTGAAGCACGGTAGGCAGGTCCTTCGGCCAAAGCAGTGGTTCGGCCTCCCCTGTGACAGCGGGAACTGGGGTTATTTTGAAGCATTCGGCAACCTCCTGATGTGCCTGCAGGAGCTGAAAATGGTGTAAGGAAATTGGGCGGGGCGTGGGTGTACCGCCCTTCAAGGTTACCCGGGATCCCTTCCATGAAAACTCCATCGTAAGGTGAGCATAGTCGTGGGTGACTTTACCCAATAATTGAAGTCATTGTACGTCGAGCACGATATCGGGCCCATGAATAGGAAGCACATAAAGTTCGATCGTGATGGTTGTGCCCTGCAAAAGAAGAGAAACATTACAGCACTGACGATCGCAAAGGAGGGACGCCCCGTTGCCAACATATACGCGGAAGGCCGGTACATCCGAGACAGGCAAGCATAGGCGTTCTGCCACAGTGGGCTGGACGAAATTGTGGGTGCTGCCTCCGTCAATAAGAACGTCCACAACCCCTTCGGAAATCACTCCAGATAGGCGTAGGGAGCACGGGGTGAGTGGTCCTACCAGACTGTGTAGACTCGAGACGTCAGCTGTAACGACGTTAGAATCAAGATCCTCTGGTGGGGAAGTCTCGTCCCCCTCGTCATCCTCCAATAGTAAAAGGAAGTGGCCGCAGCGATGCCCCTTAACCCACTTCTCGTCACAATTATAGCACAAGCCCTTGGCATCGCGTTCCTTTTTTTCAGCATAAGTTAGCCGGCGGATAGGGTGGGTTGGGTGGTGTTTGTTGTCGATGATGCCGGTTGGCGTGGGCAGCAGTGGCGTGGCCGAAGGAGTAGACGGAGCTTTCGGCGGAGTCCATGCTCCCTGACGGTGTGGAACCCGTGACTGCAACGAGGTAGCCCAAGCTACATGCTTCGCCTCCAACTCTCGCGCCAGGTCAAAGGACATCGAAAGAGAGGCGGGCTTCTGCAACAGAATCTCGTGTTGTAAGTGCGGCTTCAACCCCGCATGGAAGAGGGACTGGAGATTAGATTCATCCACACCAGTGACATGCACCAAAATTTTTTCAAAGGCCTGCTGGTAGTCGAGGACCGTTCCGGACTGCTGCACTTTGGACAAGAGGCCGAGATAGTCGACATAATTTAAAGGGTCGAAGCGGATTTTAAATTTGGTAACAAAATCCGCCCAAGAATCCAACAGGTGATTGCGTTGGCGCCAACGAAACCAGTCCAAAGCCGGCCCTTCTAACATCAAACATACGGACGATAAACGGTTCTCCTCGGGTACGGCGTAGAAAACAAAGTACTCGTGCGCCTTAAATAACCAACCCAAGGGGTCGGTACCATCACACTTTGGCATATCGAGTTTGAGTTTCGTCATTGGATTCACCTGACCATGATCATGAGGCTGCCGAGCATCGCGCAGGGGCTTGTCGGCCAAGGTTTCTCCACGTAAGGTTCCCAAATCAAGCTGCACCTGTTGGACGGTATGGTGCAGTTGCTGGAGTGCCCTACTGAGTTGATCATCAATTTGCTCCTGAACTCCCGAAGGCAAGCGGCAGTGATTGGCGTTGACGAATCTGCGGCCATGAGATCGAAGCAACGAGAGCACCAGTGATAAGGTTGTTCACAGAGGGAAACTCGGAGTGTTCCCAGTGAGGAACACCAAGCGGCCTTCTTGTGGTGTTCGTCTTTGCGATGTGGAGGCTTCCTCTGCGCGCCGATCCCCTTCCTTTCTTGCTCTGTTCCCAAATCCCAAAAAATCCCAAAACAAATAACTACGAGAGAGTACCCTACATATGTAGAGAAATATATTCCTTTGGGATTAGGATTAATAGATACTTTTCTACCCTGATGGTTCAAAAAAAGCGACGAGGTAAAGAACCGTAAAGAAACCCTCGAAGGAGCTTATAATTCGCTCACCTAGAAAAATCTACGTACAAGTAAATAAATAAATAATAATAAAGAGGATAATTTAAATGGAGCCCATGTCATACTCCAGTTGCCAACTCGGCGGACGTCGAACCCGATTACTTCGACGGGTCCCCGAGTCTTGCACGTGGCGAACCTCCCGCTCCGAATCCGTATCATTTTAAAACAAGTGTACTATATAATTTTGTTTTCTTTTTCTGAAATATTTAGAGTTATATTGAAATAAAAATAGAAATATATAACCTTATGCGTGAATTTCGAAACAATAAGCTTAGTAGGACTTTGGCCAAATAGCGCAGTACCCCTCGTGAATTGCAAAACGGGCATCAATATTCCTTCTGTTTTCAAAACTTATTTCTAAAGTCCATGTGGTTTCAAAAAGCTGCACTCGTGCCCCCTTTGATCATTTTCCGGCCATTTTTCCGGCGAAAAAGGGGGGCATTGGAGCATATTTTTAAAACCATAAGGGGTATCAGTAGTGAGCTTATTTTTTGTTTTTTCCATTTTTCACTTTTTTTGTTTCATTTATTAATAAAGGTTTTTTTTAAAACTATTTTTATAATGTTCTTAAAATTTAAAGTTATTTTTGTTTATAAAAATTAACATATAATGCATATCTACGTCTCAAATTTTTTTCCTGACAAAAGTAAATTTTTTTGAGAACTTCAAAAAATGATACAAAAATAAAATGAATATCCTTTTTGAACATCTCAATGCTAAGGAGTTTTTTTAGGCGTTTCCAATTTTTTTGTATAATACTTTTTTAGCGTATTTTAATTTTTTATTTTTGTTTTTCTTTATTTTTATTTTTTATTCTGGGTTTTTTTAACTTTCCGAAAAATTGTTCGAAGTAACAAAAAGTGAAAATGTTTAATTTGAGATAGATGTAATATATGTTAATTGCTTTATTTTTATTTTTATTTCAAATACAAAGAATTTTAAAATTTTTAAAACATTATAAAAATTGAAAATATATTTTAAAAAAATCTAGGAAAAGGAAAAAGAGATAGAAACATTTTAAAAAGGGGAAACACAAATAATAAACGAAAATAAGAAATAAACACGAATGTCCCCTATGGTTTAAAAATGATGCGCCAATGCCCCCCTTTCCTCGTAAAATGGCCGGAAAAGGATCACACGGGGTGTGGGTACAACGTTTTGAAACCACGGGGACTTAAACAGAGGGGGTATTGGTGCCAATTTTCCAAACCACAGGGGCACCAGAGCTATTTGGTCGTATGACTTCCATGCAAGTATCCCAAGTGTTCGGTTCAAACCACTTTTCATTTTTTTAAACTAGACTCGTACCCGTGCTATGCACGGAAAGAAAATTTATCATAATTTAAATTATAAATGTTAAAAAAATAATGTATTACAATTACATTTGTTGAAGGGCGAATACAAATTTAATACTTTAAAAATGAATTGTCTTTTCAAATGTTTAAATGAACACTTCACTGATTTCAATCACAAAGCTCTAATGCCTAAAATTGCAACCTCAAAGCAGTGTCGAATACCAAGAACAACACCTTCAAGCTCTAATATCCTTGGAACTTATAGTACCAGCCCATCATGTCTCCCAACTTTTGCCATGAAAATGAGTTGCATAAAATGAAAAGGACAACAGTTTGAGTTTTATTAAGAATGAAACCGATTGTTATTTTAAAAATTTAAAAATAAACTCAAATTTTAACTTTTATGTAACAAAAAATTGATGTCCATTGCAAACTGTTAGGTTTTACAAATTCTTCAACAAAATGAATCATAATGAATGTACAAACAACATACGCCTATAAGTGAGATTACCCACCCTTCGTCTTTGAAGCTGCTTTTGTTTCCTCCCCTACATGTATCCCTATGCAAGAGGAATCACCTTTCTTGCTTCCAAGAATGTTGGAAAATCACCTATGAGGTTTTCAAAAATAAAACAAAGCTAATTTTTGATAGGAAAATCAAATATAAAAGTATGATTTAACATACAAATCAGATAGTACAGATTCATTCAAAGAATACAAAATGTGTAGTACTTGTAAACAAATTACTAAAAAGCACTTCAGGCTAAATTAAACCATCCAAATTAAAATAACTAAATCAATTTCTTCTTAACGAATGTTTGACGCTATAGCTTATTAATGGCCTCTCGTAAGCTTTATCTCCATGCTTTTCATGTATTTTAATGTTCGTACATCTGCTTGTAATGCCCTTTTAGTTTTGGTTTAATGTCGTAACTCCTAACACCACCTCATAATGTCAAAATCAATATATTGCATTTTAATGTCTGCTATCTCACTTATTTCGTAGTGTTATCTTGATCAACATTTTAATAAATCTCCTCATACACTCGGATTTAAGGGATTTATGTCCAACAAAATAAAGAACATACTTTATGCTAGATGCACCCCAACATCAACCAAAACCTCCCAATCAAGAATCAAAAATAGGAGGAAGCAGCTTCTATATATACCTAGCCTTCCCCGCTAAAAAAACTCGAACAGATTCAAAAGGGATAACCAAGATGATATCTCAATAAATACTCATTCCATACCTGTCTTTTGACAAAATGCCTTTGAGACCTTCAATTGGCAGTTCATATTCACATCATCATTACGTAGGACGGTGTGAGATGTTAAAGACAAATAAGTTCATCTACAAAAGTAGATATGGTAAAGTAATTATTAACCATTGCAATTAGAAAAAAATTAAACTTTTTAAAAATTGATGACATGAACTAAAGTTGGAAACCTAATCGGCAATGCCCAGTACAACCATACAAATAAATCATGTGAAAATGCACTTCTCAAACTTCAAAACAGCAATTCGAAGAAGAAAACATATAATATATCAAATTCTTGTCATTGTGTGAGAAAGTTTTACAATGTCCTTAGAAAGGAATCTGCATCATGATCTGATATATGGAGTACGTACCTATTGATCTAAATGAGTTTTAGTTAAAGTAGTCCATTTATTTGGATGTAAGTAGGAATAGGAATTCACCAAATGAAACAGTTTGAAAAGATTAGTCAAACCTGAAAAAGAAGATATAGTAACTTACATCTTCATCAAACTTTAGGCCTATCGGGGTTCAGTACAACATTCAAACATTTATGTTAATATGGTATCCAACTAATCACAAAAATATAGAGTAAAACCAATAATAGTAAATAAGCATAAATTGAAAGAATTTCTTAAATCCCCAACACAGTGTAATCAAAAAATTAGTCTTTGTAGTTTGAATTATGGGATTTCAAAGTTTAGAATATTCAGAGAAGAGTTAGGTTGCTTTCCCTATGCCCTCTCTAGCTTATAGTCAATAAATGAAGAATTATGATTTTAACTGTAGCAGGTTTGACAACGGGGCTGAAGGTCTCGTCGTAGTCGACGCCAAAGCGCTGGTTGAAGCCGCGGACCACCCAACGGGCCTTGTACCTGGATAACTCACCTGATGGGCCAAGTTTGTGTCTAAAGAGCCATTTACCCGAGATTATGTTTTGGGTGGGGGAGGGGGGTACTAATTCCCATGTTTCATTCTTAATCAATGCATTATATTCATCACACATAGCAGCGTGCCAGTTTGGATCTTTTAGTGCACTACGGTAAGTTGGCGGTAAGGGGGAGATAGGTGAAGAGGCAGTGAGGTTCAGAATTTGTTTTGGGCAAAAGATTCCAGCTTTGGATCGGGTTTGCATGGGGTGGAGATTGGGAGGGGAGGAGGGGGGTTG